ACTTAAAGCTGTAAGCTAATGATAGTTATATAAGAGCAGATGCTGCTGGTGCAATAAGCTGTACGTTTTACGTCCAATGGATGATGATCTGATTAGTCGACTAATCACAAAAATAATCGGTGACTAGTCGACTATCAAAATAATCGTTTGTGGCAGCCCTAGTCCAAAGTGACCCGGTGTCAGCTGGGAGAAGTTCCAGCATCTCTTTGATCTTCTCTACTTTTAAGACTAGTCTTAAAACTTGGTTTGAGGGTGTAGGCTGCTGCAGGATTTCTTTTTTTAGTCACATTTTCCACTTACTATGTGTTTATACACATAATCTTCCAGCAGAACAGATTGGTTTTGCTGGAGGATTCTTCCTGCTAAAAGGGAGTTTTTCCTTCCCACTGTCGCCAAAGCTCTTGCTCATAGGGAGTCGAGAGTTTTTACCTTACAATATAAAGTGCCTTGAGGCAACTGTTATTGTGATTTGGTACTATATAAATAAAATTAAACTGAACTGAATTGAATCAGCACAATAGTATCAACGTCAGCACGAGGTTGTTTATCCAGACTGGATCTGTGCCGTGTCTTTATCCGACTCCTGCCCTCCCTCCTGTCAAAAACAGACTTAGCATTTCTAGGAGGCCTGTAAAACACGCTGCAGGGCATTTCCTGGAATCAGTAGTGCTATGTTGAATGGGTGGGGCCAGCTCTGGTGGCCACATCAGTGCACTCCTGGGGTTCAAGGGCTGTTAGAAATAAGCTATAGCAGCTTATTTTTGAAGGCGAGGGGCTACAACAAAGGATTAGACTGAACAGCAAATCATGCAAAGCTGCTCTGGTGGAGTCCAAGAATGAAAAGGTGGTGGAAATGAGCAGAATAGGTCCACTTGAACTGAAAATACTTAGCTTATACGACCGAGTAGTACAGGAGATCTCTACTTACAGAGTTTCCCCTGGCAAAAATCCAGCCTCGTTGCGCCATCGACTATGAACTGAGGTGATGAACAGAGTTCCTGGAAACAGAGCAATGATTGGTTGAAACAAAGACATGAAAGAGCAGGAAGATGAATGCAAATAAACTTGATCTGACTTGTCTGCAGAGCCAAAGGGAGAGGCAGATAAAAGCTCATCCATCAGAACAATGTGGCACAAACTTGGCACACTGATGTGTGACTCCGAGTCAGACGGGAAGACTGACATGAGTTTCACCAATGTTCAGTGTTTATCACGATAGAATTTTTAAAGGTGCATAAATAAAATGTATCAAATTTTTATAAATAATTATCATTCATGTGATAATTCAAAAGTAACTAAGATAAGATAAGAAGCAACTTTTATTATAACCTGAGATCTATGACGTCCCCACAACTGCAGTTCCTCTAGTGGCGACTCGAGTCAGTCCGCATACTTGGACTTGCTCAGATTGCAAAGAGTAATGACTTGTTATCAGTACAAACACTTTGAAAAACTGTCTGTGTATTCACCAGCATATGCAGTCTTCAAAAATGTGTGCGGCACCAACGTTTGCTACCGCCTCAGGCCTTCTGCCTTTACACTTATCTAGGTTACACATAGTTAACAGATATGAGAGAACCCCCCCTGATTATGACATTAATGGTGGATTCAGTGAATAAAAAAACTATGGGCACCGTTTTATGAGTGAAAGCTATAGAGCACCGTGTTCTTGAAGTAACCTGTGTGGTACAACACAGCAAAGACAGTATACTTTACGTTTTTTAAACCCCAAAGCATGAACAGGAACTTGGACCCAGGATCAAAAGGCTGATGCTTTTCTACAGAGCTGCCCAGGCTCTAATGGTTAGTGGGACAGTTCAAATTCGTACCTAAAAATGTGGATATTAGCAGTTGAA